TTTTTCAGTTAAATTTTCACCCATTATCTCTAAATAGGCCCTGTTTCTCTATATCTTGTTTCTGTCCTTTGTAACTTCTTTTCCTTTCCTTCTTCCCTCTCTTCTTCTCTCTCCCCTTTTTACCCACTTGTCTCTCTACCTCTATTTCTCTTTTCTGTATTCCCCTCTTCTGTTGCTTTCCAATATTATAACTTATTTTTCGAAATATCTTTCTTTTCTTTTTTTTAAGCCTTAAATTATCCATTCTCTTTCCCCGGTTTCCTTTCTCTTCCCCACATAGAATTACTTGTTCATTAAAAATGGCTTCTTCTTTGTCCCAGTCTTCTTGTTTTCAGACGTTTCTTGTTGTTTCTCATAGTTCCAAATCTCCATTTCTAAGAATTGAAAAACAAAGCCAAAAGAACCCCTCCCTTGTGCATCTTCTTTGTACTTTTTAAGTTCCATTTTCAATTCATCCAGAAGTGGTGCCATTGTATAAATTTTTAAACAACCACCCAATTAATTATAGTTATTAAAATGCAATAACCAAGAATCCAAAGATCACCAAGTAATCCAAATTCACGAAAGCTGTTCCTTTTTGCTTTTTTTTCACTTTCTCTTCCTGGAGTTCTACTATTTAGTTGCCAAGTTTCAGTTAAAATGTATCCTTTAGAAGTCTTGTTGAAGTTTTACTGTAGATTCCTTTTAATTCCAGGCAGTCTCCTCCCTTTTTTCAGATCCTGCCCTTTTATTCTTTTTCTCTCCTTTCCTGCTTATAAAAAATTTTTAGTGACTAGAAATCTTTATTATCCCTTTGACATTTTGTTTTATTTTCAGCTTAATTGCCTATATTGATGTCAAAGCGGATTTTTTTTTCTGATTTCTTATTTAAGTCTCTTAGTTGTCAGTATAGGGAAAGGGAGAGAAGAAGAAAAAAAAAATCCTTTCCCTTTTCACTTTCCTTCGCTGCTTCAGAATCTTCTTTGGGAATGATGTTATTTTTTTGTTTGTTTAAATTCCAGGGTACCTTAGTTGTTGCTTTTGCAATTTAACCCGGTCAGCCAAAACTTTCACTTCTTATCTTCCTCCTGCACATTCTTTTCTGGTCGAGTTCTTCTTTGAGGTGGACATTTCTGACCACCGCTGCAACCGCCTTCGGGAAAGGGAGTAATGGCCAGCTGAGGAGGAGAGATGCGGCTCTCCTCAACCCTGCTGGCAGTCTCCCCCCTCTTCACCACCTCTACGGGGTGGCTTAGCCCCGAAACCAGCTGGCTTGGGGCACTCCAGCGGCAAGACCAGACCGAAACCGCGCACAATCACAGATTTCTTTCTGTCACCGAAGAAGTTCAAACCAGAGCATACAAAACATTTGCTAGACCAATACTTGAATACAGCTCATCAGTCTGGAACCATGTGTCTGATATTAACACAGTAAAGAAAGTCCAGAAATATTTCACAAGAAGAGTTCTCCACTCCTCTACTCATTGCAGAATACCTTATGCCACCAGACTTGAAATTCTAGATCTAGAAAAGCTAGAACTATGTCACCTTCGGTCCAATCAAAGTATAGTATATAAAATCATAAATTGCAATGACTTACCTGTCAATGAATACTTCAGCTTCAACCATAACAATACAAGAGCAAACAATAGATACAAACTCAAGGTTAACCGCATCAAACTTGATTGCAGGAAATACGACTTCAGCAACAGAGTGGTCAATGTCTGGAATACTCTACCTGACTCTGTGGTTTCTTCCCCAAACCCCAAAAACTTTAACCTTAGACTGTCTCCTATTGACCTTACCCCTTTCCTAAGAGGTCTGTAGGGGGTGTGCATAAGCGCACCAATGTGCCTACCGTCCCTGTCCTGTTGTTTCTTTTATTTTTCTTATATGTATCCATGTATTCATAACTATGTTTATACTTATACCTATTATCTTGTAAGCAATTGACAAATCAAATAAATAAATAAATAAATAAATAAATAAATAAATAAAAAATATTGGTCCGAATAATTCATACATATTTTTATATAATTCACTAGGGAAGCCATCCGGTCCTGGTGTTTATTATTTTTCTGCTTGCTTTTTTAAGTTCTGCTGATGTTATTACTCTATTTATTATTTCCTTTTGTTCCTCCGTAATTGAACCCAAACTATTCTCCTCTAGATATTGTAATATCTTTTCCTCCATGACTTCCTCTTGTTTATACAACTTCCCCAAATAGCTTAGCGCAACGTGTTTTTATTCTTTCATCTGACAGCAAATATTCCCTTCTTTGTCTTTCAATTGTTGAATTAATCTTTTTTTCTTTTTCTACTTTTAGCTTATGAGATAGTCATCTACCTGGCTTATTTGCAGATTCAAAAAAGTTTTGTCTTATAAATTTTAAATTCCACGCTCTTTCCTCTAAAAATGTCAGATTTAATTTGTGTCTAATCATCATTATTTCTTTTTTCATTGTCATATTCTTAGGGTCTTTTTGGAGTCCGTTTTCTAATTCTTTAATCTTCTTCTGCAGCTCGTTTTGCTGTTTCCATTTTTTAAATATAATTTTTTTGCTCAGACAAATGTCCATGTGGCTACGATTAAAACACATAATCGTCCTCTTTTAACGACTCCATAATCCCTTGTGGGGTGGAGTCTGGCAAACACCAGTGTGGAGGTATATCCAGCAGATATATTCTCCATGTACCGAGAGAGAAATTGTTGTGGTCCCTCAGCAGCCAGTGGAGCTGGCAACAGACTCAGACAGTGAGGTGGTTGGGGAGGAACATGGGCCGGTCCTGGAGTCTGGGGAGGGCTCTGATGAGGCCTCTGCATCAGGGGCAGAGATGGGGCCAGGGCCGTCCAACAGGTATCAGCTGCCTTTGGAGATCAGTGGGGCAGAAGAGCCTGTTCCCAGTGCGTGTGTGCACAGAGCTGCCAGACGAAGGGAACAGCTAAGGAACAAGGGTCGATTCGGAAGTAAAGGCATAGGTAGATGGTGGATGGCCCTTCCCATAGGGAATAAAAGAGGAGTTTAAAGGGGAGTGGGCTTTTGCAGGAGACAGTTAGTTCATTCCTGCATTCTTGCCAAGTATTGTGGCGTCTGAAAGATATCGGCCTGGCCGCTTTCCAAGCCTGATAAAGGTCTGTAATTGTGAACTATCTTGGAAGATTGTTGGCTGGGACTTTGCTGGAGAGGAATTCACTGTAAACTCAATAAAAGGGGCTCATCGGGACAAGGACTTGGCTTCATGCTATTGGGGAAGCCAATAGGTCAGAACAGAAATATCTGCCTCTACCTAGGATCGAACTCACAGCCTCCTGATTGTGAGGCAAAATTAAAACACACAGTGTGATTAAAACAAAACCAAGCCAATATCACCAAACAGAGGCTGTCACACCTTGGTCATGTCATGAGAGTTGACTTGCTCAAAAAGTCATGTTGGGAGTGATCAGTGGAAAAAGGAGAAGGGGCTGTTCTGGCATCCACTGGTTGGACGCTATAAAGCAGGGGTGTCAAACTCAAGACCCACAGGGCTGGATCTGGCCCACAGGGTACTTAGATCTGACCCATGCTGCCATCCCACGGCGCCTCTGCCAGCAAAAAGAGAGCTCAGGACAGCTGCGTGGAGTCCTCCGAGCTCCATTTTCACTGGCAGAAGGCTAGCAGAACCAACGAAAAATCAAAGGAGAAATGTTTCCCTATTTGCATTTGAGCATGCAAGAAGGGACAGGGAAGGAGAAAGGGAAAGAGGAAAGAAAAAGAAGGGAAGAGAACAAGGAAGGAAAAATAAGGAAAGAGGAAGGAAGAAGAAAGAATGAAGAGAACAGAAGGAAGGGAAGTTGTAATGAGAGTGAGGGAGGGTCTGAGGGGAGTCCTGCCTTAGCATTTGGCCACCATAGGTGCTCCTGGTACGAGTGATTTAGAGCTGGCTGTGCTCACCCAGCCCCTCCCCACTCCCCCAAGGTCAAACACAACTCTGATTCAGCCCTCAATGAAATTGAGTTTGACACCCCTGCTGTAAAGGATGGCACTGGGATGACTGTGGCGGATCTGAAGGAAGCAGGGTGAGACAGAGGAGCATGGAGAGTGCTGACTCCATAGAGTGGCCAAGGGTTGGACACAACTGAATGGCAGATGGCGATGATGCCACCTGGCAACATTAGAGTTCCCAGAAGTACTGGAGCAGAAGCCAGGCTCTCTTTGTCAGAGTATTCATTAACTGGCAGAGACATAGTTAACCAAGTCAGTGAGTAGGCATGGTAACAGACTAGCCAAAAGGCTCTGGCCTAGAAAGTGAAACTATAAGTTCTCTCTGTTTTTTTTTTTTTTTTGTCTGCTGAAGTTGAGTTGCTGTTCTGCTCTGAACCTGTAACATGCCTGCTTCTGTTTGAGTTTGCTCCATGTTGCAGAAACCTACAACTGGTATTGTAAAATCTACTTTATATGTTTATAAAGAAGTTAAATGAAACCTCAGCCATCTGTATTTACTTTACTGGTGCTGAATTTACACTGCAATACTCTGAACATCTTTGACTCAAAAGCCACCCTCCAAATTCCACTAGAGGCCAAGAGAGGGAAGAGAGAGCCAGAATGAAGCCCCCCCCTTTCACTTTTGGAAACCAACTGGATCCCCATGGACTCTCCCTTCCATTCCCACACTCACAGACCTGGGAATCAACAGGAAGGAAGAGAAGCTATGTGATTCTGTCCTCAGACGCACAGAGGAAGAACCAGCCAAGGAGCAGATTCCCGTGCTGGGACTGGTTGGTTCACATCCAGTGGACCAGCCCTGTTATGGATGGATTGGGAAAACTGACTGATCTCTGCAAGGGAAAGCTCTCTGGCGGATGCTCACCCCAGCGGAGGCTTCCTTCTGTGATTCCCTGAGGCTGGGCCTTGAGCTTCCCACCTCTGTTGAAGCCTCCACTCAGCTCCCTCTGGTGCCGGTGGGCAGAGGGCTCTGGCAGGAAGAAGCAAAGCAGATTTCCAGGAAGGACAGTCACAGAAACATTTTAAGGTGTCCTTTTATTAAAATGTGCGTCACTGTTCTGTGTGGCTTGCTTCACTGTTGTCTGGCTGTCAGCGTGTTCCCTGGGACAGCTGCTGTGGCCTCAGCACTTGAGCCGACCTGGGGGAGTCTTCAGGTAGTTCGTGGCCTGTGGCTCCCACCCATGGCAATGTAGACATCAATGGGGACGTTGGGCAAGGTCAGGCAGTGGCACCCTGGACATCTTCGCAGCTGTCTGCCCGGGAGAGAAAAGGTGGGGGAATCATTGGGTTTGCTAGAAAGTGCAGATGCGCTACCACCCAAGACAGCAACATTGGTCCCAGGGTGGCCTCCTTTGAAAAAAAAAAGCGGGGGGGGGAGCCTTTTCTGGGCATAAATTGCTATCTAAACTTCACTGACTGAGTTTTCCTAGTGTGATATATCATTTGTTCTGGCTCTCCCTCTGGCTGGAGGGTCAGTGCAAAGAAACACAGATCTAATCCATTTGGAATTCACAGGGAGGGATACCCAGAGCTGTATGTAGACCCAAGTCTCTTTTTTTCCCATGGCTTTTTTGCCTTACTAAGGTTCACTGGCAACTTGCTGACTTTCAGCTGTAAATAATTTGAAAATTTTCAAAGCGGAATTCCACAAGTCTTAAAGTGGCCAAGATTGAGATACGCTACTCTACTGATACCACCGCAGGCAACTCCGTACCATCTCTGAAGGCTGTACAAAATTTAAAATGCAAGGAGGAAATAATCTCACTAAGGTGACACCCTATGGCACATAACTTGCTGAAATCAAGTGAAGGTATGCAGGAGGAGCCAGGGAGGGAAGAGAAAATTTGTTCCTGAACTTGAGTGCTTTCTCATAAAATATTTCCCACTGCTGTTCAAAAATATTCGTAAAGGCTGCATGGAACACACTTTGATTTTGCTGCCTGAAAGCCCGGAGTCCTCTGCAGTGCCACAATCTAATCCAGGGGAGAAAATCTGGTGCTTGTTAACCGCCTCGCATCGTGTTAAAAGACTGCCATGAAGTACACGGGAAAGAGGTACTGCAAAGCAAAGGAGCAAATTCCAGCATCAACGTAATTTCTATTCGTGCTGCTAGATCTCTGGGCTAAGAAGGCATGACCACCCACCCAGGGGGAAAAAGAAAAACGGAGGCAGTAGAAGTCACCCTCGGAAGGGGAGAAGCTTCTGATGGAGCCGTTTTAGCAGTCTGCCTATTCTGCTCGATAGATCTTTTGGGACCAAGCACATCAGCAGCACAAAGTAAATCTCCCCAGGACGTTGCAAGAGTGGCTCTAATGCAAACCACCCCTTGTCTACTTGAGCACCGTGTCACCACACAGTGTTGTCAAAAGGTGGGACTTGTCCGGTGATGTCACCTTGGGCCTGGGTCGCTTGGGCTTCACTGTGGCTAGGGATGGCTGCCCACGCACCTCTCCCCACCCCCCAAAGCCCTGCCAACTATTGTGAGCATCTTCCCTTCGTGCCTCTGCTCTGATCTGCTGCTTTCCCTGCTTCGATCTGACCAGCCCCTAAATTCTTTCTAATAAGCTACTACTCTAAAACTACTGATACAAACTTAGTTTCTTTAGACCAGAGGTCTGCTGGCTGGAGAATTCTGGGAGTTGAAGTCCACAAATCTTAAAGGGGCCAAGTTTGGGGACCCCTGCTTCAGACCATATTTCTAGGGAAATTGTCCCTTTCCAAAATACATTTTGAAACTCTTCCAACAAAAGATTAACTTTTTTGGTAAATTTTAAATTTTTTTTTTTTTTGTGCCGCACATCCCATCTACAGGCACTGGGACCAGAATTTCCATGGCTGAGCAAAGCGATTGTTAAGTGAGCTTTTACTATTATTATTATTTTTTTGCACAACCATTAATTAAGCAAATCACTGCAACTGTTAAATGCGCCTGTGGAATGAATGCAGCTCCCCCCGTTGACTTCGCTTGTCAAATGGGCTGGGAAGGTCTCATGTCACCCTGGGATGCTTAAACTATGATATAAATACATGCCAGGTGTTGAGCCCTCCATATTTTGATCACATCAATGTGGGGATGCTGCGATGCTTGTGAGCACAAGAACCTGTTGTGAGTCCCTTTTTTTCAGGGCCGTTGTACTTTCAGTGGTTACTAAATGAACGGTTGCAAGTTGAGGGCCCCCCGTACTCAGCCAGGTGTTCAGCTCCAGGCTGGCTTCCTAAGCAAAGTTAACCTGGTGCTCAGTGGCTGCTGGAAGATCCAGCTCTGAAGTGCCATTTATCCGGCCGGCACCCTTAAAAGGACCCCTGGGAATCCTTAGAGGATCCCTGTGGGCCAACTTCTCTTTCCAAAGGAAGACACCCCCTTCCTCCCTTCCCACCTCTTAGACCGACTGGTTGCTCAGAGCAGAAAGGAGACGGAGTGGGACTCCATCGGGCTTCTCTTTAAAGTCCAAGGAACAACCTGGGCAGCTTTGCTTCTCTCTGCCGACTCTGTGCTCACCTTGTTGCAGCGCGCTCGGGGGCAACGGGCTCCTGGGTTTCGGGGGCCGTTGCCAGGCTGGGAGAATCTCCTGCCTCTATTGGAAATCTCCGAGCTTGTGGGGTCTCTTGGGAGCTCATGTCCGAGCCCCAGACCTGTCTGTTGAAGAGGAGAAGGGTGAGCAGGAGGAGGGCCCTCTTTTGTTCAACGCTACACATTACCCCCCCTTCGTAGACCCCCAGGTGGGCCTAGAACTGCCTTTGGAAAGGGTGGCCATGAGGACAAGGACCATGAAGAGCAACCCAGCGCCAGCTAATCTGGCAACACAAGGAAGCCCATGGGGCAGCCCAAATCATTTCTGGGGGTCCCACATTCTTCAGCCGATTGCATGACTCTGATTTTTTTTAATTCCCACTTGAGAAGTTAATTTTAGATTTTTCAAGTCTTACTTTTTGCATGCGATGTCTCAAAATTATTTTAACACATAAATGGGGGTAGAAAAAGAAGTTGGAAATCAGTTGATGGAGTTGGAAACGAAACTGAAGGATCCCTGTGTCTTCTCTCCAGAGCCTCCCCCAGAGTTTTGTCTGGTGCCACCGTTATATCATCCAGGAGAAACCTCGTTTTCCTGGGCCTTAAGGACCGAGTGACTATGGAGCCACCTTCTGGATTGGCTTTGTTTTATTTTGATTTGGCTTATTTGGGTCTGGTTTTTATTTTATTTTGCCCTTCTGGTCAGCTGTCTTTCTTTTAATATTTGACTTTTAATTATAAGTCACCCATGACATTTAGGAGTCAGCCAGCCTATAATTAAAATTTAAAAACATTTTTTTCAAATGGAACAAGTGGATTCTATGCATGGGAATGTCACCAAATACCTAGTACGTCTATATTCCTGATTAATGTAATCCAGCCTTGATGGGACCACAAGCTATTGGCAACTTCTTCATAACCAAATCCACGACCCAGTTGCCCTCTGGCTACCTCATATGTGGACAGCTTTTCATCATACAAGGGCTCCACTTGTTATTTAAATGTGATCCTATGCCATTTGTGGCCCTTGGATCCTGGCACAGAAATCCTCTGCGGGAGAAGCGACCTAGCGTGGTGGCTCTGGGGTTAAAGGCTGCCCTTGTTGAGGAACAGGGCCGGGTGGGTGGCACTGCCCATCAGAAAAGCCAAGGAACCCAGTGGTCTCCCTTCTCCCTCGGAGCCTCTCCCTCCCCGCAGCTCTGCCCTAGCCTCACCAATCGAAGGAAGGCGGAGGAGGGCTCCCTACAGTCGACCTGGAAGCTTGAAGGGCCTACTGCAAAGGGCAGGCTGGGAGAGAGCCCAGAGGGAGGCCACGACTCCACTTCCATTGTGACACAAAAGGGCGGTGCCTGCATCACAATGGGACCTGATCTTCTCACTGCTTGGAGTTCTAGGCTAAGGAATGCCAGACCTCCCCCAAGTCACCTTCAGGCCATTCCTTTCCTGAGCCTCTGGCATCAAACGGGGGGGTGTGTGTGGGGGGGTGGGCTTCTTCCTGGGTTTCTCCAGGCATCCATGCGATGGGCAGGAATGGAGAGTCGTCAGTCGTCTCCCATGAAGAAGCCAACAAGATCAGTAGGAAAAACCTGGCTCTACCGCTTGGCCTGGGGCCACAAGGGACTCGCTATGTTGGGGAAGGCTGACCAGGTAAAGATGATTCTCTCCCTCATCTTGGTTTTTAACTTTTAATTCTTTTATTACTTTTTTCTATGTTTGTTTTTATGCACCTTTCAATGTTTTATTGTATTGTAAGTCACCCAGAGTCACTGTGCCAGTGAGATGGGTGGCATAGAAATTTAATCAGACTGAGCAGAGCGCATCTTGAATGCCAAGAGCCGTCAGAGAACATGATTGAAACTCCTTAATTTCGCAACACATGGGCAGACTTAACAGCAGGTGCAACGGAGAAACTGTGACCACCCTAGACCCAGCCAAGTCCCCAAATGCTAGGGGATTTCTGGAAGCCTGGCAATCAACACACACAAACAATATCTATATACTAGTCAAAGGAGACAATCAAAAAGCCAGAAAGAAAACAAAAAGAACTAAACCAATTTCGTTGTATACATGATGTACCATGACAATAAAGACTTTGAACTGAAACACCCAGATGAGCACAGCCAACACCAACTTTAACATCAGATTAATAATCAAGAAGCAAGCAATACTCTGATCAAAGGACCATCAATTCAGACCAACAAGCTGACAATAAACAAGAACCCAATGGAGGAAGCATCAGGAGGACCATTCCCACCAACACTGACAGGGCAAGCCACTAGTATATAAAATCAGAGCAAACCCCGCACCTTACTAGCATTGATGGTGTTACCTAGTTTGGGTAATGCAACGTCTGCAAGAAAAAGCCAAGCTCAGAGAGCACCTAGGACATCACAAATTAAATAAATAATTTTTAAAAAAACCACGTTGAACCTCCAGAGCAAAATTTGCCAAGGAGACTAATAAGACCAATGCTTCCTTCACAATTCTATGTTCTGTTGGCATTTGCTTATACTTGTATACAGTAAGTTTGCAATAAAAAATTAGTGTTTGCATGGGAGTACCTGCCAATCCCCCCTCCCAAAGTTAAACCCCCAACTCTCCCTGATTGCAGCTATCCTGGATTACAGCAGCTGCACTAGTTCTGGTGCTTTTTTTGAGGGGGGGGGGAGACTTTGCCTAAGCTGGAGAAAAATAACAGAAAGCAAAGTCTGCTCTTAAATTGTCTCAGGAGTGGAGATTTCTTAGGAGAAATGTGATGCCCATTTCAGTTTCTCCAGATCTGAACTGTCATAACACTCACCTACATCTACTGGCTGTGAATGAACTCCACGCTCTGGCAGCTTCCAGGCTGATCAAAAGAAGCCATGCTACTGAAAAAGCCACTTTAAGATGTTCATAGAACAAAACTGTGACCTCTTGGCAACCGTCATCGGCAACCAAGGAAATCCTTCTGAGGAGTCTCAAGAGCAAACTGCTTAGGGAAATAACTGCAGCTACCAACTTGAAGAATGTGCCTAGACAATTTTGTGGTGGGCCTACCATGAAACTTTGAAAGGGTTTAGTAAGTGCTTATTTAAACATGACAAAGATGTTTTAGGCTAACAGTCAAAGGACTTCCTTGCAGCAGCCCTCCCCAGACCATGGCTTCCCAGGATTCAACTTCTCTCATGCCCAGCTTAGGTAGCCTTTGTAGTCTACAAAAGCAATCACTCTGGTTACCTGACAGCAAGACCAAAATCAGGGTGCAGAGGTGCCTCACCAGACCTCCTCTGAAATTGCTGTGATGCACTCGTGAGTTGGCTTGTTAGAATAAAAGATTGGCTTAAATGTTCTACTTCTATATCTGTCTACCACAGGTTCTCTTATGTCCCTATAGATGAATTCTACAGTTCTGTTGCTTTAGACATAATCACTGGGGCTTCTTCTTGTGATGTTTCAAATGTTTGCCCTAAGAATTTGATTTCATCAAGACAGGCAATACGGAAGGTGTCACAAAGACGAGGGGGTCAACCTATTTCCCAAAGCACCAGAAGGCAAGACAAGAAGCAAAAGATGGAAACTAATCAAGGAGAGAACCGACTTAGGACTAAGGAGAAATTTCCTGACAGTAAGAACAATCAATCAATGGAATGGCTTGCCTTCAGAAGTTGTGGGTGCTCCAACACTGGAGGCTTTTAAGAAGGAACAGGACATCCATTTGTCTAAAATGATCTCAGTTCTCCTGCTTCTGTAGCGATTTGGACTAGAAGACCTCCAAGGTCCCTTCTGAATTCTGCTAATATCATTCAACTATAGCCCCTGTGATTGCAGATTGGTGAACCAACATGTCTTTTGGGACCTGAAAACATCCACACGTAGTAGCTTAGGTTGAAAGATAGTGTCTTTATCCACACCACTGTCACAATTCAGAGATCCAAACCAGGATTTATTTTTATCCATATGACTGTTTGGATCAGGTTTCGCTATAATCTTGTGCCCTCTGGGTATGGTAATTGCAATTCCCAGCCAAGACTGAGGAAAGACTCTCTTCTATATTATGTAGAATCTCCCTCTCCTAACCAATTCAATTGCTGAATTTGGGTGGATGATCTAAAGCTTAGTCTCTTCTCAGTACATCCAACAAGTAGAACTCCTTAAGCAATTATCTTCTTAAATAAGAGATGAGTTTGAGGGACTTGTGATACTTACTCTTAAGGCTTGCCTGATGTAGCTAGGCCCAAACCCTGCCAAGTAGTTTCAAGCCAGCAGACTTCCATGGTGTGGACAACTTAACCATCCATGTCCAATCTGATAATGATTAGCCTTACCTACACTACAATACGAGCTACAATGATTTCTTACCCAAGGCCTCACAGCATTGGGCCCCTTGTTAGGTTAACCCAACATCCCCCTGAAGGGTCAGGCCTGGAGCAACCCTTCTTCTCCTGAGGAGGATGTATGCCTGCTTCTCATTGGTGCCAAGTCTCTACCTCCCTCCCTGGTCTTCAGGTAACACAAGGTTGCATCACAATGGAGGCTCAAGTTTCAAGATGTCCAATCTCAGCTTCACCCCTCATCGAAGGACCTTGTCTGGGCAGGAAAAAATGATCTAGCATCCTGGGCTGCAGCCAATGCAGACCCTGGTCTGGGTGGAGAAGGACAGCGATGTATAGACTTTGTGATGACAGGATGTCCTGAGAATGACAGACGAGCGAGTGAAAGACACGATGGAGGAGTTTCTTCTCTCCCATGGTTACCAGATGGGCAAAACCATTGGAGAAGGAACATATTCAAAGGTCAAAGAAGCCTTTTCAAAAAAACACCAACGAAAAGTGGCTGTGAAAATTATAGACAAACTGGGAGGACCAGAAGGTAAGAAGCAGAATACAAAACGCTAAAGCAAGACAGAGCAGATGGAATGGGATAGGGCATGTTTTTAGAAATAACTGGATTTCAGTTTCCAAGGGCCAAATTTTCCCCACTGCAATATTCTTTCCAAAAAAAATTTGTCCCACCTCTAAAGAAAATCTATGTCACTATAAGCATAGAATAAAATCCACTAGGACATCAAAACAAATTAGATAATTTGTGTTCTTTCCATGATGTCATTATGATATATGTGATTTTACTTGCTGTTCCCTGCCCCAATATAGATGCTCCAGTGGGTTGTCCCTGTAAACATAGATCTGTGCATTTTTATTCTACCATCAGTTGTATATTTGCAGTTTTGCAGACTTTGGTCCCTTCTGCATCTATCTTGCCAAGAGATATTTATCTGCCTAAAGGCAATAAGCTATAAGTACCATTTCAGAAGTCTTAGAAGTGTTAAACTGGATTTCTTTGAGGGCCGGATCAGCATTGTACTTTTCTGCGGGCCGGCCAGGGTGAGGGGGTGGAGACGGAGTCAGGCGCCTTCTGCATCACCCTGCTGGCCAAAACAGGATGCAGGGGGGGCACACGTACCCCCTGTGCCCCGTTTTGGCTTCCAGAAGCACTACGGGCTGGTCCTATTTCCAAGACAGCCCCGTGGGCCAGATTTAAGCACCCTGCGGGCTTTGAGTTTCATACCCCTGCCTTAGAACAAGCATATCTAATGTGGCTCCAGTCTGCGCAGAGGCTACACATGTTCTTGGTCCAATCTGACCCTTCTGATGGAAAGTATGTCCCTGGCCTAGGAAACAAAGGAAGGAGAAGCTGATGGGAGAAAGGAACTTTTAAGAAGGCTGAAGATTCACATTGATAGTAGTGTGTCTTACTTCAGTTGCATTTTGAACCGTTGCAGTTGGCTTTCCTATTCTAATTCGGCCCATGGCATAGCAGGCAGAAAATTCACAATTTTTTCAAACCTACCTTTAGCGCTGTGAAAACTTTCAGCAAATTGGATCTCATGCAAAAGTAAAGATGACGAAGAACATAATGAATGGGGACTAACCAGGGAGATTTATATTCCCCAAAACGTCCTTGAATTATTTATGATCGGGGGTATCTTCTAGAATACACGGCTGTATGAGTCACACATGCAACACTTTTAAAAAGACTTGCAACAAAAAGACATGTAATTTTGTCAAACGCCTTCAGTAAGGCATTTGACAAAATAGACCACAGCCTACTTCTTGCTAAGACAAAATAATGTAGGATAGACGGCACCACCACTAGATGGATACATATGGTAGTTGGCTGTCAAACCATACTCAACAAGTAGTCCTTAATGGTACTACATCTACTTGAAGAGAAGCAAGCAGTGGGTATCACAAAGGTCTTCTTTGTCCCAGTACTTGAAGGGGAATTTGTAGATGACATCAAGCTGGGGGAAATAGACAACACTTTGGAGAGTAGATTCAAAATGCGGAGGATCTTGACGGACTTGAACGTTTGGTCCTCTTCAACAAAATGCAATTCAGTGGTGAGAAATAAGGTCTTACATTTAGGTATGAAAAAACAAATGGACAGGCATATAATAGGTGGCACCTGGCTCAACAACACTGTGAAAGGGTCGTAGGTGTCCTAGTGGACAAACTCTTACAGTAAATAAGGGGCAGCAGTGTACTGCAACTGCCCAAAAAGCCAGTGCAATCCTAGGATGCATCAACAGAGGGATGGTATCAAGATTGCATGAAGTATTAATACTGCCTTATATTGCCTTGGTTAAGACCACACTTAGAATACTATATCCTACAGCTCTGGTCACGATACAAAAAGTTGCTAAGACTCTAGAAAGAGTGCAAAGAGCAACAAAGATGATAAAGGGTCTAGGGGCAAAGCTAAAGCTTGCAATGAATGGTTGAGGGAGCCAGGTGAGTTTAGTCTAATGAAGAGAAAGACTAGGAGTGACATGATAGCCGTTTTTCAATACTGAGAAGGGTCATCCTGTTCTCCAAGCACTGAGGGCCGGACAAGAAGTAATAGATGGAAGATTTTGAGAGAGATCCAACCTAGAATTAAGGAGAAATTTCCTGACAGTGAGAACAATTTATCAATGGAGTAGCTTGCCTTCAGAAGTTCTGGGTCCTCCACCATTGGGGGCTTTCAAGAAGAGATTGGACAATCATTTGTCCAGAATGGTATAGGGTCGCCTGATCAAGCAGGGGGTTGGACTAGCTGACCTCCAAGGTACCTTCCAACCCTGTTTTTCTCTGTTGTAAGCTGGCAACCACGTACAGGTCCAGGAAAACACCAAGGGGTATAAGTTCAGCTTAAATTAGCCCTTAACCTCTAACATTCCAGGTGTTGTCAAATTCCAAACTTCCAATATTCCAACATTCCAATCATCTTTGTTGGGAAACCCTTTTGAGAGTTCATCTTTGAAGGTCAGTCTCTATCTAGTCAGGCAGGGAGCCTTGAATGATAACCACAGCCTTATAAACTCTTGTCCCAAAGGAAGCTGGCTGCCCTGCCTTCTAATGTCCTTTGGCCATGATAACTTGCAGGTTTAATGGGATGAATTGCGGCTGATAGAATCCTGCCATTATTTCAATTGCTGTACATTCAAACTATATTTAATCCAATGGATTTGGGGACTGGCCCCATCCTCTTCCTGGGGTTTGACCCCAAGTCAACTGCCAAGCTTATAACCCCAAGGTTATAACCTTCACTGCTGTTGTTACATAGTCAGATTTATATACTGATCTACAAACCAGGGATACTTTCTCCCAATAATCTATGCAAAATATTTGATTCATTTGAGGCTGCATGTGTGATACAGAACTATTTTCTTCCATCCCTTCTGGGGTCATTAACTTCTGGGGATGGGCGTGTTTTCAAACTTGTCTTGCAAAGGCAGAATAGGAGCAATTGTCAATGCAGGCCCTCTGCTTTACCTGAAAAAGTCCCAGGAGGCAGTTGGGTATCATGTAATTTGAAAGCCCCCATGATAGATTAAGAAATCATTAATCAACAGGCATGTTTATTTCTTGCCCAACCCAAGCTCAGTGAAATAATTTGTTTTATTGAAGGGAGCCATGCAATTTCATTTCAGGGCTCACAGCGTTGCAAAGTTTGAGAACGGCTGTTCCCTAAATGCCCCCCTCCCCACAGATCTGTCTGGGTGCTTGAGCTGAACAGCACTGGGATGCTGTGGTACCCTTTTAATCATTTACAATTCTGAACAATTCTGAGAACCCTGGGAGAAACCAGAAGGATTCAGGTCCAGGATTCCAGGTGAATCACCATGAGAAAAAATGTTTCCAGCATCCCCAGAGAAAAAACCATTCTCCTTCCCTGGGAGCCAGGAACATCACAAGGAGCATAATGTCCATCGTCTCTCATTAGCTACGGTCTTCAGACTTCTTGTGCTTTGGCCCACTCTCTCTTTTGCCTCCCCAGAGTTCATTGAGAGATTCCTGCCTCGAGAGCTCCAGATTGTCAAGCGCCTAGACCACAAGAACATCATCCGGGTGTATGAGATGCTGGAGTCCACAGATGGAAAGATCTACCTGGTGATGGAGCTGGCAGAGAATGGCGATGTCTTTGACTGCGTCCTGCAAGGGGGACCCCTGCCCGAGAGCCGGGCCAGGGCGCTCTTCCGTCAGCTGGTAGAAGCCATCCGCTATTGCCACAGCTGCGGGGTGGCGCATCGTGACCTCAAGTGTGAGAATGCCCTCCTGCAGGGGCTCAACCTGAAACTGACAGACTTTGGCTTTGCCAAGTTGCTCCCCAAGAACCGCAAGGAGCTGAGCCAGACCTTCTGCGGCAGCACAGCCTACGCGGCCCCCGAGGTGCTGCAGGGGGTGCCCCACGACAGCAGGAAAGGCGACGTGTGGAGCATGGGCGTGGTCCTTTACGTCATGCTTTGTGCCAACCTGCCCTTTGACGACACAGACATTCCCAAGATGCTTTGCCACCAGCAAAAAGGGGTCTCCATCCCCGGCCACTTGGGGATCTCTGAGGAATGCCAGGACCTTCTCAAAAGCCTCCTGGAACCAGACATGATCCTGAGGCCTTCCATCGAAGAAGTGAGTTGGCACCCATGGTTAGCAAGTTCCTGAGGACGGGACCATGTCGAAATTCTCCCCAAATAAAAGGGGACAGGCTGTTTCCAAAATGCTCACATATATTTTAACGTTATGCTCAGTTTCTAGTCTATCCTTAATCCACCGAGGGAGGCATTTTAAATATTCCCCTCTCATCAGGAACTGCATTCCCTTATCCAAAGACGCCTGCAAAGGTGGTTACAAATAAGTCAAAAGACCCAGAAAAATAGAGTGAAGGTGTCTAACCTAACCCTTGCTGGAATTTATTTCTCAAACACACAGAATCACTTTGAAATGTGGACTCTTAGAAACCTCCCACGGGATTCCAAACTGCAGGTCTCCTCCCTTGGCTGTTCTTCAGTGGCATGCCATCCGTTGGTATCCCAACTGGGAAAGGGAAGGAGGTTCTGTCATGAACCAAAGCAACTTGTTGATCCAAGGAGCATTGTAATCCAAATGAGCTGCCAGAAAATCATTCCCAACCTGGTGCCTTCCGGATAGGTTAAAGGAACCAATCTCAGAATTCCTAGCCCAAGTTTCCACAAAGTTCCTTGGCATGAATACCTGAGGAGGGTGTGTGGTATGTTCTAAGGCAGAGCTTTTCTGAGTCCCTAAGATAGAAATAAAAAACCTGGAGGCTGCCAGGAACTGAACCTGGAGCTCAGCTGTACAAAATATGGGCTCCAACAAGTAACGGTGTCTCCAGGATTTGTTTGCTGGTACACAAAACATTTTGAATTTGAGAAGTATCAAACTGGAAACCCCTACTTTAACAAACCAGGCCATCTTGAAAACTTGAGAAACAGATCAAACTATTAAGGCACCCCCTTCCAAATTAACAAAAGAGCCTGTTTCCCAGAGTAACTCACACTCAAAATGGGGCATTTCAAATTTGAAATGGTTTCAATTCTAATTATTTTGAGCTCCCTTAGCTAGCAAATATATTGGGAGAACTCCCAGATGCTAGCAAGGGAACAAGGCTCCTGAAAAGTAATGTCCACTGCAGCACCTATAATATATAGCTTGGTCCTATAATGCCACCCCTTTCCGCCAGTATAGCCAATAGTCTGGCTGGCTTTGGAGAGAGACTCAGTCCGACACGTCTTTCACTCTATGAACTTGGCAAGGCAGGTTGGAGGGGCTGAGCATCTTTCAGCACCGCCTCCCTTAGCCTTCTGACTGGCTTATCAGGAAGTGTGCATATCAGTCAAAGCCAAGTCCACCGCCAAGTTCCATTGTAGCAATGCTCCTTGCCTTCATTGTGTCTGGCACAGAATAAGGCCCAGGCCACCCGAGATATTTGCTTGAAAACTTAGAGGATGGGGGGAAAAAATCACAAAACCAGTATGAAGTCATTTCTGTAGAATTCCTTTAATTGCCATTAATGGCAAATCTGTAAAAGGTGAAGAGAAAGTCATAATTACAAAACTAACAGCTGTTAGAGTCACTTGTTCACCCCAGCTAGAAAACAGTCCAGGGAGATACCACATAATTTAAAAATAATATTGCACACGACTAAGAAAAAGAAAATAAAGTAATTATGATGAAACCGGAGCTCTCGGATGTCTCCCAGCACCAACACGAGATCCCAGAGCAACTTTTCCCAACTTCAGCAACCTGCCACAAAAGGGAACCTCTCCCTGTTGATGGCAAAGCATCTCGGGGTGCCTGTGTCATCGAAGCACAGCCAGCCCACAGAACCTTGGTGGAGAAACGCTGCTCTAGACTGTTCTGTCCCATCAACACCAACACTGAGAAGAGAGGGCTGCTTTTCTAAGGACCCTCCTTCTCGCTCATTTACCTATTAGCTCTTCTAGACCATCCAGTAACGAGACCTAGTCTGGATGGGCCTATTGACACCCTGACTGGTTAGCCCTTTAGGAGAAATCACCAGAGTTCCTTTCAAGACAAATATTCTCCTGATCCAGAAAGCTGCTTGATATATCCAAAGAGCACTTTTCTAAAGAGTGTGATGGAACTGGCCCTTGTACAAGGCAAAATATCTTCATTTCTTAAACACAAAAATTATTCCAGAGCTGCAAGTTTTCATTTGGTTTGCCACATAGCTCACTCCCAGCTGTCATTTTAAATCAGAGTGGCCAAAAGTTCTTCAGACTAAGCCAGGTTCACGATCGTCATACATCTATCCGCACTCCTTCAATTTCAGACGGCCATCTGCGTGCAGAGTAAGCCTCCTTCCACTGGCTGAATCAAATCCCTGCTCATATTTCCCATGGATGACCAATTTGGAAATCTTTCCTCCTCTTTAATGTCTTCTAGTTTCAGGGCTGACTCCTAAATCCATTGTCCTTCAGACAGATACTGATTTTCACGATGTGGTGCCACAGGGGAGCCCCAAAAGCCAGTCTTTTTATCAGAAACACCTCAGGGACTCCGAGACCCGAGAGCTTCCACAGGCTCCATGTTCCCTTTCCTGACCCTGCACATGGAGTCGCCTTCTCAAGGGGTTTCCTCTCTCAACTGCTGCTTAGAACAAGAAAGAGGAAAGAGAAATGCGGGATCTTGGCCCACTTCAATGAGCAAGCCAGCACAGGTTCTGTTCAAATTTAGTTGGGTGTGTTGAGGAATACCTGTTGATGTATCCCAAGCAGATAAATGTGCCTTTTGGACCCATTTTTTTAAAAGCATGATGAGTTCTGAAATGAGACTCATTCGTAGTCAGACTCCATTGCAAGGCAGCAATAGCTAAATCTGAAGCAGGTGCCCTCCCCCCATTTTCCCTAAAAAAAAGAGAAGACGCCTGTACAGATGATTATTTAGAGGAATGTGGATGAGAAAGTATCTTTGACAAGTGTGGAGAACAACCCAAACTCTTCAACACACAAGCACGCTGCTTCCCAAGGATTTCTATCTATAGAAGAGGATCTACCGATGCTCCCAACAGCATCAATGCAAGAGGAAGACAAACAGTTACAAAGCTTTGGCAAACGAAGATGCTTCCAGGAAGATCCAGGGCGCCTCCTCCTAATGAGGCAAGGGATACTTGAGTCCAAGCAACGCTGTAGAGCAGAGCTCAAGGGCTGTGCCACTCCCCTAACCGGGGGCCTTGCATAGATCTCAGCCATGATTGTGACAACCTAGGAGGGATGTCCTCCGTTCCCCTCCATAACTGGAATTTATGCAAGATGGGATTATATGAGGAAGGCCTCAGAACAATAATTTCGTTTGTAAAAAGTGCTTCACTTCCCAGGAAAAATGGACCAGCTTACATTTGGGGGCAGGAGAAGAGAGATGGGTTCATTTATGCAAAAGTTAATTACAAACCAGGCACTATGAGTCTTGGGGTGGGGTGGGGAGGTCAGTAGGAGCCAGAAATGTCTTGCAGAGTTTCTTCTTAAGACTGCAGGTAAGCAAAGAGATTTGCTCCTGCAAATCCTTACAAGTTGTGTTGGTTTCAAGACACACAACATAGCATAGCTAGCAAGCTATCAGACTGAAAAGAGACAGGGGGAATGATCCTAATTATTTGCGAAGATCACTCGAACGGATAGTTCATCCCACCCCATACTAATCCACTCTAAAATGCCAAAAGAAGCGAGAGAATGATCCCGATCCATGGTGCCCGGGGAAGGGAACGGTCTGGAAAGAGGCCGCTGCTCTGCAGCCCCACTGGACAGCTTAACCTGGCCCATCAGGATCTGAGCAAGAGTCCTGGGCCAAGTTCCCAAGGAGGACAGAGATGAAGTGTAGCCAGCCCAAAACACTTTTACAGGAGAGAAAGGAACCAGTTGGTCTGCGGTTTAATTCACACTGGATGGTGGGGTGCGGGGGGGGAGAGGGTCAAGGCTGAGTCCAAGGAGCCCATGGAGAACAAAGGCCCTTGTTATTCCCAGTCCTCCCATTCTTCGTCTTCCATCTGTAAACAGGAGAGAGAAAGAGACAGAGAGCGTTCAACAAAGGTGTCATTTTAGACAAGAGGGTACAAAGAGATCGAGCGGAAACCTGGCAGGAATTCCACAATGTACCAGAATGGATGATCATTTAAAGCATTTTAGTTAAACTGGTTGGCCAACTTGTCATTCAAGCCAAGGTAAATTAAACAAAGACTGTAATTTTATCTTGCCCACACTTCAGCTTCACTGATGTACCTGCTCGAAATATTATTCCCCCATCAGAGTGTTTACTAGGAGCATAGATTTCAATATAAAAGGCAGTTCAATATGAATGAAAAAGATTTTTAGATGAACAGATACATGCATTCATCCAAAACTCTTTCTCATCTGTATTGAACTTACTTTTATATTTAAACTCGCTCGATACCTGTGCTTCACTATGAAACGATGTGGTCAGACTTAAGTTTTTGGGGAGGAAAATAAGGGGAAAAAATTTCTGCCTCTGCCTACCAGCATCCAGCGGTATTCATCTGGCTAGCGCCCTGTCAGTGTGTGAGAGTTGAGGGCTGTTTGGAAACTGAAAGAGTATTTGCTATGTGAGCAAGGAGACAGCAAGGAGCCTGGGTGTCGCTTAGCTCAACTGTTCTGTACTAAAGCTGCAAGAGGAACATACAAACACACCCCGATTGCTTTTCTTGAGGGAGGAGCTTCTTTGCCCACTGGGCATTAGACTTTCTCCCCCAGACCCACAGAGTTTCTGCAATACTGTCCTGACAGAGAGGAACAGCCATCTACTCCTCAGCCTGAGTCTGCCAATATAACTGAATCACCGTGTGACTAAAAGAAGGGCGGAGAGAGGCTGGTGGGTGGGACTGTTAGAATGTTGAAATGTGCAGCTCTGATCTTGGCTAGTCCAGGTTCTTGGTGGCCAGAAGCAAATTCCAAGAGCTGCTTTTAGCACATGGCTGCTTTCCTTTATAAAAACTATTATTGTTTGGGGAATTCAGGAACACATCTTGAAAGTTGCAAAGTTTCAGAAATACTGATTTACCCAAACAACGTATCCAATGTAATAAAGTTCCATTGTTAACAGAAACACGTGGGAGCCCCCCAAAATCTTTTCTGAACATCCCTTCAAGGCTGCCATCCAACATACAGCTTTCCCTAAAGGACGGCCAGATAATCGGTGGGGAAAAGAACCCAGAGAAGAAATGGACAGTCGGTATGTCAACGTCACATTTCTCTTGGCGTGTCTTAGAGGAGAGTCATCTGACACACTCCCAGCCTCAGTGCTTCATCAGTAAAATGGGAACTTGAACAAATGCTGCTTTGTGACATCCTACATATAACTAAACTCTCAAATTAACAGGCCCAAGTGAGAAAGACTTGCCTGTGCTAGCCAAAAGCCCTTTAATGAGATTTTACGTGTCAAATGCCAAACGGATTTTGTTCCATTCAGCTAAGGCCCAGCAAACAGAAGGTGTGATGGAAGCCTATGCCTCTCCCCAGGACTTCCTCAGCTGCATCGGACTATCCCTGAGCGCTTACCTCCGCCGCAGAGATGTCTACTTTGGCAAGGGCCAGCTGAACCTCTTCCTCCGTCATGTCCAGGTCGAAGTCCTTCTCCCAGTCCTCGCTTATATCTGTGCTCGAGCCTGAAACAGGAAGGAAAAGACGACACGGGCTCAGCTGCAAAAGCTTCTGAGCAAGCAGCCACTGAACCTTTGCATGCAACGATTAGCAGGTGTCGCCTTCATGGAAACCCCGCTGACAAGCAGCCTCCTCAAACGCAGCAGCCTGGCCCGAAAGGGATCTTGCACTGAAACAATTCCAGCCGTTACTTCTCTTTCTCGCCTTCTTGGCAGTCTGTGTCTCCTCCAGTCTCAGGCCCCGAGGGCTCCCCCCACCACTAGGACCACCTGAGGTCACACGGGTGCGTGACCAGACTTTACCACAGCTTTTACTTCTGTTTTGGGGCCAAACTGGCCACAGAAAACCAGTTGGTTTGCTTAGGGACTATGGCATTTGCTTAATGACCACCACAAAAAAAGGTTACACAATTGTCGCATAGGTGGCTCAATTTATGGCCCATTTTATAACTGAGATGGGCAGGCTCCATCACGGTCATAGGTTGAAAACCACATATATTTAGAAAAGGTGGAAGGTTTCCAGCTGCTTACCCTTCTTCCCGTTATTGGAGGGCGTGGACTTCCCGCTGTCCGAATTGAGCTCGAAGAGCCGTAAGTCCAGAGGTGCGTCCTCTCGCAGAGTCTCTGTCCTGCTGCCTGACTTGCCCTCTGCACACTCCTTGGGCTGCTCGGAAGAGGCCTTGGCCTCCGGGGCGGGCAGGGGAGGCGGCGCAGGCTTCCCTGCTTTGGCCAAGGAGCTTCCCTGCTCATCTCTGCCAGCTTCCTGCGGCTTCCGGAAATTGTCCCCAGCTCCCGCAAGGGGGGCTCCAGTCTGTAAGGGGGAGGCTGGCCCAGCGGCGGGGTTGGGGATCTGGGTCACCAGGGAGATGCTCTCGCTGCTTTCTGAGGGGGTCGCCTCTGCTGGGGTGGGGCTCAGAGGGGCCCACATCTCCACCAAGGCCTCCAGGGTCGGAACGGCTTCTGCTGCCAAGGTGGGGCAAGCCGGCAGTGCAGGCTGGGAAGACTCTGCCTGGATGACAGCTTGGGGGGAGGAGGAAAAGGACCCAAGAAATTCCTCTGTGTCAAGAGAAGAAGAAGAAGAAGAAGAAGAAGCAGCGCTGATGACGGAGGAAACCACGTCAGGAAAGCAGAAGGAGGCTCATCAACATAGGCGGCTCTTGATTTGCAAACCCAAATGGGACCAGAATTCCCTTCATTAAGCAAGCTGGCGGTGAAGTTAGGAGCGCTCGATTTCACAACGTTTTTGCCACAGGTAAGGGAATGACTGCAGTTATTAAGCGAATCATGCAGTCGTTAAACCGAATCCTGCTTCCCCCACTGACTTCGATGGTCAGAAGTTGCAAATGAGTCTGGGACACGGTAACAATCCCAAATACCTGCCTGTTGCCAAAGTCTGATCACATAACCTGGGGATGCTGTGACAGTCGAAGTGTGAATGCCAGTCCTAAGTCACTGTTTCAGTACCACTGTAACTTAAAATAGTCACTAAGTGGAATGGTTGTAAGCCAAGGACTACCAACATGATGCTCCAGTGATAGCATCATCTTCCCTGGACATAGCAGAAAATAGGATTTTTTTCCTTTCTCTACCCTTGGCTCCTGACCTTAAATACCTTCCGAATGTCAAGGCACCTTTAATTTTACACATTAATTCCAAGCAAGAAGTCTGACACGAGTATTTCCTGGCTCTACCCTCATGACCTGTGTCGTCTTTTCCCTTGCCGCTTCCAACCCTGGGGCACTGCTACATTTAGAGGCAATTCTGACCAGGCAATTCTTGGGAGTCATGACAAGCAATGAAAGGAATCCCCCCCCGCCCAACTACCAAATTTGCCTGCCTTTATAATTGAAACCACAAGGTGAATGCGGTATTTTCCTTGATTCTACCCAGAGTTTTGGCTTCCTTCAGACATACCACCAGAGCAAGATTTATAAAACTGGGGTGTACTGGAGAAGCTACACTGGTGTAAAACATAGCTAACAGTAGCTAATATGGAGATTCGGGTTGTGAGCCAGTCAGGGGGAATGAGAGGTTAAGGGAACATCCACGAGGCAGCCTCAGGGCATGAAGCCAGTTGGGACAATCCTTGGCACATTCATTCTATCTCAGTCCTAAGAAGTCAATTCAAAATAAAATCTTGATAAGAAAATTGCAGGAACCAATTCAGGCAATTGTCAGGAATCAATACTAATTTTAAGCCCCTCACAAAAGAGATTCACATATTTCATAAAGTCAAGAGCCAACTGATGTCTGCATATGATTTGCAAACCAGGCCTTCGTCATTACTCAATGAATTGCTGGACACCTTTGTAGGACACTATTAACATCGATGCTGCTTGAGAATCCCATAAGGAGGGTTGCGCAGCTAGCAGAGTGAGCACCCTCACAGAATTTTGGTATAGAAAGGGGGAATTTTATGGGACAAAACTACTTTACTTTCCAATTCCAGCGACTGTCCTCAAACAGGCTCAAAAGGTTAGCTCTGCTCATTTGGGTGGCATCATGAGAGGCCCAGAGTGCCCCTAAAGGGAAAGCTGGACAGTTGCTTAGAAGATCCATCTATACCTTGCAGCCCCCCAGAACCAGAACCTTTCTGAAGCAGGCATTTCCTCCGCGTTCCTGGTTGCATTAAGACACTGACGAGGTTATCCTGCCAACGTTGAATGGCTGTTGTCGCTCCCTGGAGGCCTGAGCCCTTTTCTTGGCTTTGGAGGGCCACCCCTTTGCAGGCTGCACCCTAAGTATCTTACCTGGCCTCTCTCTGCTGATGCCGACCACAATCGCCCCCACACCCTTTGCCTTCTATCCTTCCATTTCCTTGATCTGCAGAGAAGTCATCAGGGGCATCTCCGAATGGGGCAGACTTTCCTGCAGCAGTCTCCCTCCAGGAGTCCCGAAAGGACCAGGTCCTTTCAGGGAATGTTCAGCACTTATGGGTCCCTTACCTTCCTCCTCCTCCTCCCATCCTGGGTCTTCTGAGTGAACACTCTGTTCTGCCCGCTGCTTCAGAGCATCCCTCCGGAGCTCCTCCTGGGATGACAGAGAAGACACACAATCATCAGCAACAGTCTGACCGGCACTGCTGCCAAACGGGGACAGAGAGCAAGAGAGTGAGTATACACCCACAACCACAGCTGCCAGGCAAAACCCATCCTCCTTGGGCAAAGCCCTGCCTTTTCGGCACACTCACCTGCTCCAGCTGGTGGACTTTATAAAAGTACCGCTGCCAGAATTCCGAGTGGGAGACGGCCACAGGCACCTAAGGCCATCAGAGGGAGAAAAGCGTAAACTTTCCAAAACCACAATTGCCTTCGTTTCTCCCAAAATGCAAAAAAGCCACACTTGCAACCCCGCCTTTATGGATGTGTGCATTAACCAAGGGATGACCCATGAGTGGACAAAGGACACAGAGAAGTTTGCATATAGGCTGGTAGATGAGAAAGGAACTTTATACCACCAAAATGAGGATTAAAAAAAGAATAATTCAAGATAATTATGAAAAGCTGAATGAGCAAGAAAAAGTTTCAGAAGAGAAAATTAAGTACCAGAAAAAGTAAAAGCTATGTTAAATGAATGAATATCAATGATGGAATTGTCAGAAGTGATCAAGAGACAAAAGAATAATAAAACACCACGACCAAATGGGCTGCCGGCAGAATTTTACAAATGTTTACAAGATACTTTAGGTCTATCAGTGTTGGGAGTCTATAATGATTGATTGATGAAAAGGTACCAAACTTGTGGATGGAAGCAAATAATACTTTTGATTCCAAAAGGAGACTCAGATTTAATGCAGATAAAAAAATATAGGCCCATATTTTTACTGAACGCTGACTATAAAATATAAGCTTCAATAGTGGCAGAGAGACTTAAAAGGTTTCTAAATGAATTTATACATTCAGATCAAAATGGCTTCCTGCCTAAGAGACAGATTAAAATATGAGAAGGAGTTAAAATACACTGGAATATTATGAAGCACATCCTGGAAAAGAAATGGTGTTGATCTTCTTAGATGCACAGAAAGCATTTGATAACGTAAATTGGCAATTTATGTTGTTACAATTAAAATCTATGGACTTTGGTGAGTGATTTATTAACATGATAAAGGCAATATACCATTAACAAAGAGCAAAGGTGATGGTAAATGGAGATACAACAGATAATTTTAATATAAAAAAGGCACAAGATAAGGATGTTCATTATCTCCTTTACTATTCATATTGACATTGGAAGTGCTAAATAAAAATATTAGACAAGACATAGAGATTAAAGAATGGAAGTAAAAAATATAAATTACAGACATTTGCAGATGGTTTGGTCTTTATCTTGGAAGACACACAAGAAAATGATTTAAATTAAATAGGAAAATAGAAGAATATGGTGAGGTTGCAGGACTGAAAATACATAAAGAAAAAACCAAAATAATAGTTAAAAATGCTACAGACATACAGAAAAAAGAACGAGGAAAATAGATATATGGATAGTCAAGAAAGTTAAATGTTCAGGAATCCAACTAATGGCAAGATGTGTAACTATTCAAGAACATAATTATTACAAATTGGCACAACAAATTAAAACAGATTTGTAGAAGTAGAAAAATCTACATCTATCGTTGATGGGAAGAGTAGCCACCATAAAAATGAAGATCCCAGTTTTATTGGTAAACAATACCAATAAAACTGGATAAAAACATTTTGAAGAATTAAATAAAACAATATTAAAATATATTTGGCAAGGGAAAAAAACAAGGTGTCAGCTTTGGAAACCGTATTAATACCAGAAGCTTCCACACTGCCACATTCCTGTGCACTGGGAAAGTAGGAGAGGGGAATTTTTAGTGTTGGTAGTTAGACATAATAGCATTCTTCTTTTCGGTCAAAGTCATGTTATTCCTGCACCTGGAGGGGGAGTGGTTGAAGAGATGTCTCTTGTTGGGGAGATGGTGATTGGACCATATGATGGACTGATGGGTGCAGGGGTTGGGTTTTGGATTTTGATTTACTGAGGGAAAACCTGGAACTCCCAGATGTGTCAGGATAACTACTCTAATAAAAGGAAACGTTGAGAAAATGCCTGTCTCAGAGAAGCCTCCATATCACACAGTAAGCTGCTAAACAAGTCAAAGGAACATAGAGTGCCAGAGATATTTTCAAGCAACAAACTCCTCTACATCGGCTTGAAGGAAAGATGGAGCCAAGCTTACCATTTTGGAGTAGAGGGAGCGGATCGACGGGCTGTTTCCCAGCAACCCCGATATCTCTCCTTTCTTCTCCTCCAAGCTGAAGTGCAAAAGCCAGGCCTCAAATAGTTCAGGTGGTCCTGCAGGAGAAAATACTACGTCCACCAAACCACCACAGCTATGCCAAGACGAACAAGGATAATAGCCACAATCACAAAAGCCTCCTCGGCCCATAAAACTAAATCTCATTTTCTGCACTGACGAAGCCCGATCTGTGGCCACAGCCCTGCCTCCTGATCAACGGACAAGGACTTCTCAAAGCCAATCCTCCTCCTTTGTTTGGGAAGCTACAGTCTTAAATAACAAGACAAGAAGGGTCTGATGGATCAAATCGAGGTTCTAAAGAAGCATGCTAGAAAGAGGAGGCATGGGAGACCGAGATGTACCGTGAATTCCACAACTACCATATGCAAACAAGCATTTTATACTCCATCTTTTATTTCCAAAAATAAAACATCCTAATTTATTAGCCTTCCTTCCTGAGAAATTTGCCAGCATGCTTAGCCTACCACAGAAAACAATATACCATCACCTTCAGTGCTAAAGAGCAATGTTCACATGCCACCACTACAGGAAAGGGGAATGTGGGACACTGTCCCTCTCTGCCCTCCAGTTTGGAAGTGATGGGAGAGGCAAACACCCACAGTCAAGCAAGCCCCGCACCATTCCCAGCTCAGCCAATTTCCTCTTATTTTCTGATCTCCTAGCCAGGAAACCATTCAGGGAATTGGAGTGGAAGGTACTGGGGTCAGGCAAATGGAAAGCAATGAGGAAAAACATAGCAAGCCCCCCCCCCCCCTACAGTTTGCTTAAAATGCAACTTGGATCTCACTTGCAATGATTATTTTACAAATTTCTCAGATTTTTACCATGAATAACTTTCCTTGTAGCTATCCAAACATACTTGGATCAGTTGTGGCTGAATGAGTCTCGGCCTCCCCTTATAATAACACCTGCCAGTCTCTCATCTGTTGCCGGGCTCTGCTTAAATCTTTCTATTGTAGACCTGAGAGCTAGAGATTTGATTTTTGTAATAGCCTGTACACTTGAAAGATTTGCTTTTATGAACATAAAAACATGATAGCAACTGTACTCATTATCTTGTAGATGACTCCCCTATTGTCCAGAGGACTTCATTCTATATAATGTCCCTCTCAGAGCTTCCCTGCCTCTGATTACTTCTCCACTTACCGTCAGGTTCATTGCAATAAGTGGCAGGGTCAGACTGAAGGCTATAGAGCCGAGCCTGGAAGAGAAGAGACAGATAAAATTATATGAACAAAAGGCATTCACAGTAGAGGGGAGGGCTCAATTTTAGGGTTGGGAGGGCTGCCATGTACCTTGGCACTGTCATACAACTCTGTGGTCCCAGATGGAGTTGCCATCAGGGTTATGACATCACAGTCAATGGTCTTATCTGGGGAGGGTGCAAAAGTGTCTGAAATAACACCCAAGAAGTTGGAGAGTCCTTTTCTCACTTTTTCCGTTGTCCCCGAAGAGCTTTCCGTCTTTACATACACAAAAAGAAACAATGAAACAAAATTAAACCACCGGAAGCAGAAATGGTAAAATCCTACAAAGTTTTACCAAGGGTGAGGTTCTATGTCAAAGCAAAACAAAGTCTACTTGGTAAAAATGTATTAAAACAAAAGAAACTCTGACAGTATTTTCCCCTTGCTATGCACCCCTTCATCTCCGTAATGAGACCCTTTACTTACAGCCAACTTCTCTTTGACCACACTGGCAGTAGCAGCGATGGTGCAAGCTGTATCATGTTGGACCACCTGAGTGAATTCTGTCAGATCGCGTTTCATGAACTCCAAGGCCTCTGAGGACTGCGGAGGGAGAGAATGGATGCACTGGCTCGTGTGTGGTAAGTCAGAGCACAGTTGCTGTTACTTAAACAAGGAGGTGCAGGGAAATGGCAATGTGGACCCACAAATTCCTGATCACTCCAAGGCATGACCAGTAAGAGGAATCTTTTTTAAAAAACCACTCAACGGAATCTTTTTAAAAAAAAATCAAAGCTAGATATCTGATGGCTCAGTTATTTTATTACACAGTTTCTTTTCCAATATATTAAGTAAAATTATATTTTTCCATCCAGTTTGTAAAAAGACTCAAATTAATAATAATAGTGCCTAACTGGTGCTCGTGTATTACAATTCCAAGATTTATGCTCTGAATGGAGAACAGCATTTCCAGCCAAGAAAGCATGTTCTACTTTAATGTTTTAAAGTTAAGCATCTGACCAGCAACAAAATGGAGTTCTGGGTAATTTTTTAAACTGTACTTAATTGATGGGGGAAGCCTTTAAAAGCCAAAATAGCCTAAAGTCATTACTGGATTCATAACAACATGAGTAAATCTCTATTAAATAGCATACTGGATGAAGCAAAGGCAGGTGACTTGTTCAAAGCCACCTGGCAAGTTTGTCAACAAACAGGAATTTCAACTGGCATCTCATTGTTTTAAGTCCAACACTCTTCCATGCACGCCAGACTAATTCTAAAACTGATATGGAAGTTTGGGGGAGGGGAAAAGAGAGGAGGTAAGAGAATTGGAGAGAAGCAGTTTGCCAGAAAATCCAGTTTCAAGTCTGGACTCCTATCCCAGCCCTTTCCAATGCAAAGAACAAAAGCAAAGTCTTTCCCACAAAACCAATGACTGACCAGTAATACAGAAGTTTAAAAATAACTGTTTTCAACAAAGGATTCAAACAATCAATATGCTTCAAAATTAAGAAGCACCCCCAAAGTTGCTCCTTTAGGCCATTGCTCTTTATTTATTGCATAATTCCAAAAATTCTGCCTACCTTCTCTCTGACAGTTTGAAGGCTTTGCTGTAGCCAGCTCCTCCACCAGCCTCCATCTTCCCTATTACAGGAGAAACATATAAAGGTGAATATAAAGCTAACTATGTTTTAACATTTGGTAGATTACTTGAATCCTGTCCACTGGAGCACCTTCAACAATCCTAAACTAATCATATCCCAGGATCTTGTATGAATTATTTTTGCAATTATTATTATTTGGTATAACGTTTGATTTAAAAAAAATATGAAATAATAGCAGATATTAAAACATTAATTTTTCTTTTAGTGGCTAACAAAACTTGAGAGCCAATTAGAATTGAACGGCACAGCTATGAAAAGCAGAATATCAACTAATAATATTCAAAGACGATGGGAATACAAATGTCCAGGGTCATATTGACTGTATATGACTCTAGTTTTGGCATCAACTTTAAGCTTCCTGAATTTGCCATGTGTAAAAAAGCAACAAACAAAATAAACACCAATTCTTCTAATAGCAATGAAGAAAATTAGGCCGTGAGCCCATACTTCAGCAGGTAACTTAGTCTGGGTGGCAGAAAGAGAATGTAGCTTTACTGGATTCACCACCATCTTCTAGCCCAGGGGTTTGCAACCTGGGCCGCTTTAAGCCTGGGGGACTTCAACTCCCAGAATTGCCCAGCCAGCTTTGCTGGGAGTTGAAGTCCGCCAGGCTTAAAGCGGCCCAGCTTGGAGACCCCTGCGTCTAACCCAGAGGTGGGGAATATTGGCCCTTCCTGTCGACTTCAACCGCCAGAATTCCTGAGCTGGGCGTTGAAGTGGGCCAGGCATGAAAGGGCCAGCCCTGCTCCCACCCAAAGCTTCTCATCCTCGGCCACTTTAAGATGGGGAGGGGGAGGGACTCCGACTCCCAGAATCCCCCCCAGCCAGCCTGGCCCTGGCTGAGAAACGCTGCTCTAGCAAAAGCAACGTTTAAAGTCAACGTACGGCAAGAAAGGAGCCGATGCCCGAACGTTGCGGCTTCGGAACCGTTTCCAGCTCATCCAAGCCGGCCAAGGGGACCGGATTTAGCCCCGGGCGGCGCCTCCAGCCCCTCACCCCGCTCTTCCCGACCGCCAGGGCTGCCCAGCGTTGCTCTCCAAGCCGCCCCGGGACCCTCCGCGCGCCGCCTCAGCGCCTGTCCCGCCCCCGCCGAGCCCGCCTTCCCGGCGCCCCCTCCTCACCCCGGCCCCCCGCCTCTCCCCATAGCGGTCCCGCAGCTCATCCTCTGGTTCTCCCAGCAGCGCCAGCGCCTCATTTCAGGAACCGGAGCGCGAAGTTCCCGGAGAGAAGGGCCGAGCGCTCTTCACATGCCCAGAGAGCCCTCGCTCCTTTCCCCCGCCCGGCCCCCTCCTTTGCTGCGGCGCCGCCCCCGGCGATCTCGCTGAAGCTCACCCTTCCGCCATCTTGGCCGCTGACGTCACCAATATTTACTGACCTTTGACACTCCGCTGAAGCCCCGCCCCTCCGCAAGCGCAACAGCCGCAGCTTCCGGCCGTTCCGCGACGTCGGTGATCACAAATACGCTTCCGGGCATTTCTTTTACCGCCAGACTCCCAGAGGTAAAGAAAAGGGGCCGTTGAGGATTCTGAATGGCGCGGACGCCCTTCGTTGCATTCCAAGCAGAAGAAGCCGATCTTTTCCACACATTCTCCATCCACGTTGTTTTCGCAAAATCCTCTTCTGTAGCAGGACCAGCGCAGAGAACGGCTTGTCTTTAGAAGAACTCTATGATCCTTTCCGGGTCGGCTGGGAGCTGTTACGGCAGCTGCCGAGGATAAAATTATTTGCTCGAAACGGTCTTGGAAATTTTTTCCCCTACTGTAGGGAATTTACTTTGTCTTATCTTTATTTATTTTCAAACCAGCCACCTTTCCATATGTCTCTATCTTTTCTATCAATTTTGATGCTGTTTCTAAAGGGTCTTCTAAGATGAAAACCAGATCATCTGCAAATGCTTGCAGTTTAAATTCTTCCTTTTTGATTTTCATTCCTTTTATATTCTTTTCATCTCTGATATTTCTGTTTAGCACTTCCAAAGTTAACACAAACAACAAAGGCGATAGTGGGCACCCTTGTCTTGTTCCTTTTCTTATATTGATAGAGTCTGTCAGTTCTCCCTCTATCATTACCTTTGCCGTTTGCTTGTAGTATATGGCTTCTATTGCTTGAATAAATTTTCCAGCAGAGCCCATCTGTTCCAACACTAATAACATGAATTGCCAATTCACATTATTAAATGCCTTCTGTGCATCTAGAAATATCAGAGCCGTTTGTTTTTCAGGATGTACCTCGTAATATTCCAAAGTGTCCAAGATTACTCTCATATTGTCTTTAATTTGTCTCTTTGGCAGAAATCCATTTTGATCAGGATGAATAAAATTATTTAAATGTGTTTAAATAATTTTTGCCAATATTGAAGCAAAGATTTTATAATCTGCATTTAGTAGAGAAATGGGTCTATAGTTCTTAATTTGTAATGGATCGACCTCCTCTTTTGGAATAAGTGTAATATAGGCTTCTGACCATGATTTAGGTATCTTCTTCTTTAACATAACTTCATTCATAACTTCTAGCAATGGAAGATTCAACGATTCTTGTAATGTTTTGTAAAATTCTGCCGGAAGTCCATCTGGGCCTGGTACGTTTCCATTATTTTGCTTCTTGAGTACTTCAGTTAACTCCATCATTGTTATATTGCTTTCTAACATTGTTTCAGTCTCTTTAGGTATCTGAGGTAAATTAGGATTCTGTACTGTTTAACTCTTTCCTCATCAATATTCTCTTGCATATATAATTTCCCATAGAAGTTTCGAATGATTTTCTTCTCTTTACTACCATAGCAAACTTGGCCTTGGTCATCTATTAATTGCGATATTTTCCTTGATTCTTTCTTCTTTCTCAATTTCTATGCTAACCATCTACCTGGTTTGTTTGCATCTTCAAAGTAGTTCTGTTTAGCACCTCTAATTTTCTGTGCTAATTCTTCTTTTTCTATTTGACCCATTTTATGTTTAATTATATCCATTTTTAGCTTGATGTCCCTTTTCTGTGGCATTTTCTGTAGCTCTTTTTCAAGTCTTTTATACTCATCCTCTAAGGCCTTAGAGGCTAGTCTTTTCTTTTTTTAAAAAAAAAAAAAAGCAAATTTTATTGATTTTAACAACAAACAAACAAAACAAAACATCATTAAACATTAAAAACATAAAGCTTCTTTCCATTATAAATCTTTACAAGGCAGGTAACACATTATTTTATATCATATTCTTCTAATTTATCCCATTTCCATATAGACACGTAAATTCCCTTTAACAAATTTCACATTATTTCTCTTTACTCTTATTCAATTACATTTCTTTTCTAGTTTATCTGCTATTCAATCATCACATTTATATTTTCCTCTGGCTTGTTTACAGTTGTTCTCATCTGGCCTTCCTCCGAGATTTTATTAATTCTCAAACACCCACACATAAAGCACAAAAAACATAAAACTTCATTTTAGAAAGTAACTTGGCCCCAGATTACCTCTTTTTGTATGGACTTCAATTAAATTCATGCTCTTCTTATATACCATTACCTATCTTGTTTACCATTCTATATCTTCTATATAACTCCTCCCCACTTATATATTTCATCATACTTTAAGACAATATTTTTATATCTTTTGTCCATTTTTCCATTTACATCTATCTCATTCCCAATATAAAAAAGAATAATTTCTCCTGAAATCACTAATCAGAGTATGATGCCTTTCTATCATACCCCTAAATTGAAATTCGAAATAACACCTAAGTCCCAATCTGATTCTGCTTAGTACATTCTACTATTTCAAAAACAAATACTACAATAATAAATCTATAATAATCAACACATTAGCCCATTAAACTCTATAATTAAACTAATATTTTAAACATTTCCTTTAATATTTTATTAAAACTTAAAATCATTCATTATTAAACATTTTAACATTGTACCTTAATATTTTGATCTTTTATTAAATCTTATAAAATTCTAATTTTCTATTTTTAATACAAATACAACTGCTACAATACTATCATGTGTACTATGCAGAATCCCCCCTTTTTTGTAAAGAATCATACATTACCCTTTGTCCCTAAAAAAGATTTTCTTTTTCCCATCTTGTTTTATACCTTTATAACTTTTTCCCCCTTTTTCCCTTTCTTTCTTGGCCCACCTAGACTTTTTACCCACTCCTCTCCAAACCTCTGCCTTCTTGGCTTCCCCTTTCTGTTGCATTCTTCTTTCCTTTTGCTTTCTGACATTACAAAGTCAAACAAAGTCTTGGAATATTTTTTTTTCCCAAGCCTCTCCCTTCCCACTTGTAACAAAGGGCTTTAAATTTTTACCTTCTGTTAGAGATCAGATTTTCCATGTCCATTTGTTAGTTCCATAAGGGAGGGAGAGTAACTTTATCTTTCAACACTTTCCTTCCCAGCTGAGAACCTCCATTAGAAACATTGTAGCATCCAAAAAGAATAGTAATTTTCCAGGTATTAGATATGTCCTTAAAGTCCCGGTTCAAGCCAAGAAAAACTTTCATTGTAAAACTTCCTTCTTCTTCCTCCTGCACATTCTTAATCCAGTTGCCGGTTTCTTCGTGGCGGCCATTGAGACCGCCGCTCCACCGCCTTGAGAAAAGGGGGTTATTGCCGGCTGGGGAGGGGGTCTGCGATACCCCTCAACCCCTGTCCGGATCCCCCCTATCTTCAGCTATCCCAACAGGGCAGCCTTATCCTCCAGATCTGTCAGGATTGGAGGCACCAAGACGGCTAGCACAGCAGGGATCGCAGAGAAAGCGAATCCCTGCTGTCACCGAAGCCTGGCAAATGGGAAGAGAGGCTAGTCTTTTCATAGTATTCCTTTTCCTTGTATAATATATTCCTCTATTATCAAGCCTCTAACATATGCCTTCATTGTATCCCATACATTCTGAATTGATGTATCTTCTTTTTTGTTTTCTCTAAAGAAAAAAAGCCAATTCTTTCTCCATCCACTGTATGAAGTCTTTTTCCTTTAAAATAGTATTATTTAACATCCATCTAGATCTTCTTTTTTGTCCTTTCCATTTAATTGTCATTGGATTGTGATCTGCCCACGTACTTGTTTCAGTATTTATTTCTTGAATATTAGTTATTAATTCTGTTGACATCCATATCATATCTATTCTGGACCATGATAAATGTCTTTTTGAATAGAAGGTATATTGTTTAGTCTTGGCATTTCTTTCTCTCCATGTACCTTTTAAGTTTATTTCATCTACCATTTTAAAAAAAGATTTAGGGAGAGTCTGTCTGTTTTGCTTTATTGTTTTCTGTGCTGTATAGTCCAATTTATTGTCTACAATTCCATTAAAATCTCCCATCATAACTATATTAGCATAGTCCAGTTCAATTATTTTCATATGTAATTTTTTGTAGAATTCTTCTTGTTTGTCATTCGGAGCATAGATTGCAGTCAGGACTGTTTTCGTATTATTGTCCATTATTTCCACCATTAGTATTCTTCCATCATCATCGGTATAAATCAATTTTGCTGGGGTGGTCTCTTTAATATATAAAACCACTCCTCTTTTCTTACATTGTGTCAAGGAAGTAAATATTTTCTCTAATTTTGACTGTATCAACAATTGTTCATATTGTTTTTTAATATGTACTTCTTGTAGACAAATTATATCAAATTTAAATTTCTCTAATTTATGAAAGGTTTTCCTTCTTTTAACGGCTGAATTAAGTCCATTTATATTAACTGTAATCAGTTTTTTCTCTACCATGGTTATATTTTGTAGTTAAGTTTAGCAGCTCTCGTAGATCTTGGTTCACGTTGTTCTTTGGCTTCCACCTTTCCACCTACTGCACCTTCTTTTTCAGTCGCCATTTGGCAGTCCTCTTGGAATTCAATTAGTGAGATCTCTTTTTCTGCCTCTTCCTCTTTCCCTCCAAAAAATTCTGTATAAAATAATTCCGCTTTCTCAATTGAGTCAATTCTATGTCTCTGTTCTTGCCATGTGAATATTAAACCTTCTGGAATCAGCCATCTATAATTCACCTCTTTTTAAAGTAGCATTTCCTGATTCGGTATTCTCTTCTCATCTCTCTCACTCTTCTGAGTATTTGTTTCAAGACCACAATCTCCTTGTCTTTATATTTCGATGTTTTCTCTTTTGCCACTTGCAATATTTGTGTTTTAATGGCTTTCTTTGTAAATCTAATGTGAACTTCTCTTGGTAAGCTATTTCTCATCGCATATCTTGTGAAAACTCGATAAGCCTCATCTATTCCATCCATCATCTTCTCTTGAGTTATTTTCAAAGCTTCAGCCAGTATTTCTATCATTATCTCAGCTAAGTTTTGTCCTT